TATTTTTTTTGTAATGTTTACAGGTACAATTGATCAGGCGTTAAAACTTATAAATTAACTTTCTAATTCTTATTATTTATTTGAAAATATTACAAATCCATTTAATATGTGAGAAAAGCATATAGTAAGAATCCTATTATCAGCTGTGCATACTGGCCATCATTTATTGCAGTTAAAAAAAAAAAAAAAAAAAAATCTGATTCTTGTATTCCCCATGGAGGGAAACACATGTTTTACTTTCATGAACAAAATCTATTTTTAAATCAATTTTTGTTTTACAGTTTAAACAGATTTATTTCAATTAAAAAGTAAATTATTTTACACAAGTACGAATTAAGTGCCGTGTTCATTAAAGGGGGATAAAAGACGCTGTCTGGCAACCCTCCTCCTGCTAGCAGCGCGTCAGTCGTGACTTAAAGTTGCAGCGTCTTTACTCCTGCAGAAAAGCAGCTGCCAGCTAACCACCATGGCAGGAAAGAGAGCCATAGTGATCCTGTCTAAAGGCGCAGAGGAGATGGAAACAGTTATTTCTGTGGATATTATGCGCAGAGCCGGGGTGTGTACACGACGAGATGCAGAATGCTAACAGTTAGCAACATAGCCTGCTTGCTTTATTTACGATAGCCACGCTGGACCTCAACAATATTGTAATTTTAAAGTTTCTGATTCAAGCAACTTTTTAAAGTTATATTAATGACGTAATAGTCTTGTTAATGACGTAATGCAATGATAAATATTGCTTAACTCGAGATGCTTGAATGCTAACATTATACAGCTATAGTTTATAGTTTTGTCCAAATATTTTTCTTTGTTGAATCGGTAAAATTTTATCCTTGTTTGCCTGCAGTTTGCTAAATGTAGAGAGTCTCATAACCTTTACAGTGCAGTCTGATGCTAAAAGTTTAAATTTCAAACGTCCAGCCTCATTTAACCTCTACATTCACCTTTCAAAATAAAAGCCTTACAATGCACAAATGATGCCATGTTGTGCTGGGAACCTGCATTGGCGGTCTTAACATTTTTCATATTTTTTTATTTTATCATTTTGTTTTTGTAGATCGCAGTAACAGTTGCGGGACTGACAGGAAAAGAGCCAGTCCAGTGCAGCAGAAATGTCGTCATCTGTCCTGATGCAAGTCTGGAAGAAGCCAGCAAACTGGTGGGGCTTAAAATTACACACAAAAAGATTTGTTGAGACAAATCCCTCATTTTGTTTTACTAATATTTGTTGCCCAAGGTGTAGTGGCACATCTGCAGAGTCTGCATATGCATCTTAGATCTGTTTACAATATCAATGAGATTTTAAGCAAAAATGAATACGAGAATCAAATCAGGTCTTAAAGTTTAAAATTCATGACTGGAATTACATTGAGTATTTTATTTTAATGTCAGATAATGATTTGGTTTCTCTTTCAAGGGACCTTATGATGTTGTGGTCTTGCCAGGGGGGATGCCAGGCGCCAAGAATTTGGCAGAGGTGAGAGAAAGAGAAAGCACTCAGTACTACACATTTTCACTGGCTCCTGTGCTACCAACTACCCCTGCGGCATTTTTATTTTTTATTTTTTATTCTTTCGGCTGCTCCCTTCTTCAGGGTCACCACAGCGAACTAACTCGTGTGCAAGACTTGGCAATTGTTTTTATACCGAATGCCCTTCCTGATGCAACCACAGCCCACCGAGCTACCACAGCCCTCTGTGTGGAGCAGAGAGCTGCCATCTAGGGTGCCCATGGGTGCAGATGGTGGAGGTTAATGGCCTTGCTCAAGGGCCCAGAAAGGGAAAAATGAGGGTGGAGACTGGTGTGGCTGCTTCATCTTTTCCACCCACATTTTGAAATTATCGGTCCGGGGAGTTGAACCGGCAACCTTCCTATCACAGGCCCACTTTCTCTAGCCTCTACGCCACCACTCCCCTAAGCTGCAACATACTTAAAGAGGAAATAAATGCAGCTTGATAAACAAGACTGAAGCCACACAATTTGTAAAAGGCTACATGACTTTGTGATCAGTCATTTTGAGGGTGAAAATCTGTACAAAGATAACCAAGGTAAAAGTCCAGATTTTTTTCCTTCTGATTTACAACTAGATTAGCTTAACTAATATAATATTCTGCTTTCTGCTTCATTTATGTGAATATACATGAATGAAGCAGTTAGAAACATGAATATAAAAGGGAAGCGCTTCAGGTGATGTCAGATTTGACAGGTAGACAGACATACTTTTAATAATCCCATCATGGAAATTTTCTTTTGCAGCAACAGTACAATACAAGTCAGAAATGATAATCAAGACAGTGTAAACAAATTGATTGACAACTACAAGAGAAAAAACTCTTGTTACAAATGTGATTTAAACGTGCATAAAACAGAAGAAACATTGATTGCAATCCGAGGTGACAGGAAAGAGTTCCTGCAGCAGCTGTTCAGACAGTAGCAGTCTGTTTGAAAAGGTGCTAGGAAATAGTTTTTGTTCTTCCATCCATTCATCCATTATCTTTTACCTGCTTCTTCCTTTTCGGGCCAAGGGGGTCACTGGTACCCATATCCAACTATCACTGTGCAAGTGGTGGGGACACCCTGGACAGGTCTCCAGTCAATCACAGGGACACATGGAGACAAACAACTATTCACTCTGTCGCTCACACCTAGAGACAATTTAGAGTTGCCAATCAGCCTAACATGCATGTTTTTGGTATGTGGGAGGAAACCGGAGTACCAGGAGAAAACCCCACGCATGCACGGAGAGAACATGCAAGCTCCACCCAGAATGGCTCCTTGGATGGGATTCAAGCTGACGACCCAACTGCACCACCGTGCTGCCAGTTTTTGTTCATATTATAAATCGTTTATATAGCCAGCCAGTAGTAATCAGCAATCAATACAGTACTTACGTGTGAAGTTTTCCATTATTCACACTCTTGGAAGCTGTTTGAAAGGCCTTCTCCTTAGTGCTTGATAGGATAACCTAATTGTGTGAAAATAATCAGAGACAATTTGTGTGTGTGTCATAGCTTATCAATTTTAATGCTATTAGTGTGTGTGTGTGTGTGTGTGTGTGTGTGTGTGTGTGTGTGTGTGTG